AGCTCGACCGGTAACGAAACGGAGAGGAAGATTAATCTCCCGAGGGCCCAATTTATCTCTTGGCATATTGATTTCATTTGGGCCAGGCTCTGACTGTCGAATGGTGAGCCGGAGAATTCGAGGCGTAGGAGGGCAATAGAGCCCTCAAGCGAGGCGAGCAGTTCATCGACTTCGATGGAGACTTTCCCTGCAACTAAACCGACATTGCTGTCCGATTTGTTCCAGCAGGAGAGCACAAGCGCGTAATGATCTGAAAGTGTCTGAAGAGTATTCGATAGGGTCTTGGTTATGTGGCGTGATGCAGATGGTGGCAAAGGCAATAGTTGAACGATGAGAGCAGCTGCGAAGCCGATCAATACGAGGACAAGGCGGTGCCAGAAGACGTTGTAGCCAAATCCCGGGTTGCCATATTGTGCAATATGCCTGGTAATGTGATATCAGTGCCTAGTTGGAATTTAAAAAAAAAAATTACCATTGCTTACGTGTCATCAAAGCTGTATCCGACAATGAGAATGCATGTTGCAGCGCTCATTATAGTGGCTTGCAAAAGAGTAGGGTTGAAGAACAAACGTCCCCACATGAGAACGGCTAGAACAGCAGCCGAAATGGCAGCTAGTCCATATGGATTTCCTGGTCCATTAGCAGAACCAGTATACCAGACCAGCAGCCCGAGCACTCCTCCAACCACCGTCCCAATGGTTCGACTGATCATGGAGAAGGTAAAGTCTGCCATGTAGACCAGCAGAGTTGTTTGACCCATTATAAGTCCCCAGATACCCTTCTCGCGATAATAGAAACCTGCGCTAGACGGTATGACTGCAGGAATCGCCAGAGCAACTGTAAGAACGATCATTCTTAAAGCATATAAACCATCGGAGTTGAACAACCACTCATTTGTAGCAATGATAGATCTAGCCAGTCCACTCCGACGTTTGACTCCATATCCACGACTGATTCGGAGGCGTCTCTGGGCTTCTTTAGCTTGCTTATCCACAATGTTGGGATCTATGACATTCGATTGGCCTGGAATTGGAGCTGTAACATTTCCGTTGAAAGCCCACGCCGCCGCATACCTGATTCCGACGGGAAACCAAAGCTTATCTTTCGTCCGTCCCTGGCATAGCTGGATGATTCGTTCCAAAAGCTTCTCCAAAGCATCAGTCACGAACAGTATCTGTGTCTCGAATACCATCCCAAACATGACGCCTCGAAAGGGATGGATGGCAAGGTTGCCAAAAGTCGGCAGATGACTGGTCTCGTCAAACAAGTCTGCGTGGAGCTGGAGCAATCGCTCCGTAGTCTCGGTTGTGAAGGTGGAGCGAGTCGATTTAAGGGCCTCAAGCGATGTGCTACATCGATGAAGAAGTCGCTCATGTTTGTCATTTGAGGGGCGAGTAAACCATCCCCCGGAGCTTTGCGTATGTATACATTCGGAGATGGCCGTGATCGCATCCAGGCAGGCAGGGAGAATAACTTTTACGGATCCCCGCAATACCTCAACGGTCTCCGAGCGAATGGCTTCACTCTCGGGGCTCCGTAGCGCCTGAAGGAATTGTGCACTTTGCATCAACTGATAGCGACCGACCTCGCGGGGTCGCCGGCCGTTTGCATAATCCAGGGTGTCTTCTGCGTCAGAAGTGGCTAGAAGGCCTTGTAGCCTCTTTTGTCCGACGAGCCGTGCAGAATGATATTCCAGCAGTAATAAACTCGACATCATGCTTTGGCGTATCGGACCTCTCAAAGTCTTAATATCATCGGCGTTCCAGCGACCGATTGAACAGTCTAGAGGCAGGAACGCAATCGCCAGTTCCATTGCTTTGTACGCTGCGACAATTTCTGCTTTCACTTTTTGAAGAGCCTGGACATCCAGCTTTTCCGAATCATTCTCTAAGCTGGATATAGTAAATTCCAATGGCTGCTTTGCAAGTTTAAGTAGCCCTTCCAAGGCAGTAAAGAAGGTGTGGGAGGTGGATTGGGGGATGAACAGTATGGATGCAACAAAACCAAGGCCAACACCAACTGCTGCTGCTTTAATTAGCGAGACAGGGAGGGTTCCGTAGAAAGAGGGTTGAGATGGGCCAAGGGTGAGAAAAAGATCTGAGATAATGATTGCGTAGATCTGCAACAGAGCAAATTTCGGATTGCTTGTTCGCAGTCGTGCCTAGTGAGCCACGCATTCAGTTGATTGTCAAGAACGGCGAAGAAGCGATAGGACGAATCGAGGACCATATCTTGCCTACCATGAAATAGATAAATAGACAAATTAGGACAAAAAAAACGGCAGTCACTGGAGCATCTAGCATGAACCCATTCAATACGAGGATGTGCGCTTCGCTAGCAATACTCTGGCCAGAGGCATTAGCCTGAGTAGATGCCTGCTGTTGCAGTGCGGCCAATTGAGCCTGCGTCTGTGATGGTGAACGGGCCGCTAGGGCTGCCTTCATGACAATGACTCCCCATGCCCAGGCAAGACTCATGCCAATAAGAAGAGTAAATTCCCCAAGAAGGAAAATAAGCAGAATACCCGAGGGGGGCAGAATGAAGAGTACAATGCAGGCAAAGAACGTTTCTGTTCCAATCGTGTGTAGCGTAGGGCCGACGAACATAAGCAGTGCAGCCACCCATGTGGCGGCCCAACAGCGAAACAACACCTTCAGATCGTGAGCGTTAAAATGATCGAGCCATGAGGGGAGTCGTCGTTTTCCCTTGGTGAGCTTCATATCAATTCCTGGACTTGTGTGAGGCGATACTATACGTCAGCGCATGGAACTAGATGCAGGATATGGGGAAGCATATACATTCTGGGAAATCATATCAGCCAATATTACTACAACTGTGGCAGTTGAAAGCACCGACGACTGCAGGAAGGGGAGTTCCACTATCAGACGAAAACATGCAGGGGAGTAACAAGCAAATGCTTGGATTGTGCTGAGGGTTTTATTCTGCCTTGACTATATTGTCAGAACATGCCGATCAAACTAATAAATTGATAAATGACGGTTTTCATTCACTAGCACCTTTTCCCCACAGGCTCTAAATATGACTGTTTTAGTCCAAACAGTTTTACGGTGGCATGACTTACGTATGATGTCATGATGTACGAGATCTGGTAAACCGACAGTATTGCAGTAACGGTGCCAATCTACAGTGACTACATAAAGTTCAGACACCTCTAATCCTGCCAGTCAAACCTCCACTAATCAAAGACCGGTATTACCGGGCGGTAAGGCTACTTTGAGGAACGCGGTAGCAGAAGGTGTGTCTAGACTTTCAGAGTCAGTGTACTTCATACAGTAGGTCCTTATGTTTCCAACTCCCTACATCGCCATATATACACCGCCTGAATCGCGGATCACAAACTGGAATAAATCAGAACCAGGGAGTATAATAAGTTCTTTTAAAGACAATATAATATTTAGACAGGATTGAAAGAAACAACAACTATCACTATGCCGAAATATTGGAGAGTGGACACCGACAACCCTGAATATTTCTTGCCGGCAGAAAAGAGAGTGGACGGAAACTTATGAGCACGTAGTTACCCTGCAGGTTTGTTCTGGAAGTAGGAAGAATAATTGTTCTTAATTCGCGCCTCATGCCAGTCTGTGGGTCGACTGCCCCCCTACGCTCGTTACTTGGTCGAGTGCTGTTTAAGTCACGGCGCAGGCTATCAGATGCTTAGGATAAGGGATGGCTGGTCATACTCAATGCTCAGCAAGTAGCTCCGGACCCGCGGTAAATTCTATTTCAGAGTAAAAATTGATAGAAGAGTAGGCAGGTGGTGTACACAGGTCGCATGAGCCAAGCGGTGAGCTTATGCGGCCTAGACCTAGAGTGGCACAGGTTTCCCGCCGAACCCGACCCGAACATGCCCCAACCCAGCTCCGGGTCGGGGGCGGAGATAGAAGACAGAATCCGCTCTAGGTTATAGATTCTAGAGTCTTAACCCGGTCTGGATTCAGAGAATTTATCTAGATTAGATTAAAAAGAATTATCTAGATTAGAATTAATCTATTTATTTAATATTAAATTAAGTATACGATGTGACAGTTAGCGGGGCGCAGCATCTGGCTCCCATTGAACCACTCTGCCAGCCATCTATAAAATATCGGCCTCCGTCCTCTCGACTCAACCACGCACTTTCTCTTCTTTTCCTTTTCCCTTCCCTACCCCTTTTCCTTCCGGCCCCCAAAAGTTCATGCGTCTTTCAACCCCACTTGACGCTCTGACCCTTCTACCCTCGCCGGAGATGCCGCTTGAACCGATGGTCTCAACACAGTCTAAACTTTTACCGCTGCTGCTGTACAGCTGAAGGCTATGATTTGCGACGAGGAAGATTATCATCCACGGCCGGTTATCCTTCTATTGTATACGATAACTATGAACGCACCGTCTCGTTTGGATCACAATCTTGCACTGTCTCCCCCATTGTATTGGCCTGCTCTACATGGTACCAGATCCGCCTGTAGGGTGTCTTTGGCCCATTGACCTTTCCAGAGAATATATGGTTCAGTCTGCAATGTACAAACCTCACAATGTCCCACTTACGCCCCCTACTGCCTTGATTCTCGACCTCCTTGGCAGCCATTTGTCGTCACGTCGGTCTCTCCGAAGCTATGTCGCCCCGTTGACGCGCTCTCAAAACGATACACTCATTATTTGGGCCAATGGCGAAAATAGCGCATTCAACCCTAGCTTCGAGCCCTGACTCTCGCTACATCATGGGACAGAAGCGGATTGCCACATAAATCACAGGATTCTGGACCTGATCCTATTAGGCAATTTCTACCTAGCGTATGACAATCACAATGACGACTTCCAGGTACATTCTTCAGAATTGAATGGCCAGAAGTATCGCGAAAACTCTTTAAGTGACCAAACTACCTGCCACTGTACAGTTGCTGCCGAGCCCCTTCGATGAGCTGGCCGAGCTGGAGAAACATTGGACCAGCAGCCAGCTGCGGGTTCCTCTACCCATAGCTCTACTATATATATAATGACTCTCATCCCCCTACTCCTAGAATACTCAGATCACCCTTATTCCTCTCCCTTCCCTTGTTCCTCTAACCCCCCCTCTTCATGCCACTCTTCCCCCTCCCGTCCCCTGTTACATACGTGCCCAGAATCACCTGTCCCCGAGACCAGCCGTCCAATACTCGCAAGATGACTAGTGCAAGTTATCGCCTGGATTCCTTTCGTCCCTGGAACCCTTTTCATGACAAACCAGAAGCCCTGAATATGCCTGCCAAACTTTGTCGTTACCCAAGTCCCATCTCCATGACAGCCACTCCGACTTCTTTATCTTATAATAATGCACCAAAGACGCAGAGTTATACCGATAAAACTCAACAACATCCTCTTCCGAACCGCCTACCGGAAGAAGTGTGCTTGAATGCTGGAACTAAGTCGCGGGCTCAGTTAACCCTATCCGATTCCAGTTCGCAGCAAACTATCACTGTGGAGCACGGCCCCCCAACTTCCTCTCCCGAGGAAACCGTCCAAACTCTAGAAGTCGAAGACACAACCGCGCGTATCAATCCCGCAATTTTGAATGACAACCCGGCTTCAACTGTACGATACGCCTCCTAGGCTTCACCCTGTCAGGAGCTTGATCTTGCAGGTATTACGGAGAGCTTGTCTTCACAAGCTTCGACCTTCGACACTGTACTTCCAGCCCCACAACTCACACAAAATACTTTAGGGGGCTCCGCGACTTCGAATACGCACAGTACTTCAGTGACAAAGAGCTGTTATATCCGAAAGAGACCTATAGGAAATGGCCCTAGTCGGCTTCCCTTACGAGAAACCAGTCCTCGCAGGCGAGAGGCTCATGGCCACACTTTTTCCTCTTTTCGTACTCAATTCTTCGCAATGTCATTGCCAGATCGGTTGCAGTTCGTTTCCTGGTTGTTTGAGAGCGTCCTATCTCAATGTCTTTCTCAGCCTAACAGCCCGGGTACCCAGTCTCCATCAAATTATGGAACAGGTTATGATCGCAATACAATGTCCGATCCTGTACACCAATACTCAGTTACCGAGGGCGTGCGTTCCTTCGACCAGTCTTTCTACTGTGGATTAGAGTGTGGATCGCAGAACCACAGAGAATCACCACTAATCGAAAACAAAGATCAACAAGACAATGATCAGCTTGAGTATGAAATTAAAAAGATCCTCGCATATAGACAAGGTACCCATGGTTCCGTCTCATATCTCGTTAAGTGGAAGGGCTACAAATAGTCTAAGGTCACCTGGGAACCAGGTGTTTCACTGCAAAATACGGTTGTCTTAGAGAACTATGAGTTACAACTAGCCATCACTGCAGACAGAACTCGCGCAACACGTAATTGTAATCGCGGCACCGGCCGTGCACAAGGCAGGAATCATTCTTATTCCCGTCCTCCAGGCTCATTTGCCAAACATATATCCATGCGCCATAAACCTCCTACAAGAAAAGGTTTACTGTGGTCCCCGGATGAATTCGCCCTTTTGTCAAAGCTCAGAGTCGAAGAGCATCTCCCTTGATCGGCAATATATCGGGAATTCTCACGGAAATTCTCTGGTCGGACTAAGGCCTCCCTCCAAGTGTATTGGAGCACAAAGAGGAAGAAAAACCTACAAGATATAATTCTTGACTGATAGCCATACTTGGTTCACCTGTTATCTCTAGGGAAAGAAAAAAAAATTGTTTAATATTAAATAGCAATAATTTGTATGCCGTTTTTTCGAGGTCACTGAGACAATATATTTATTCACTACCTTGTTCTGGACGACAGTAACTGGTTCCCTTTCCCTTCCCTTCTTACACAATCTAATGCATTCTTGGTCCCTGGGCGCAATTCTAATGGATTCATTCAACTGCCCGGGAAACACTGAAAGAGACAGGCTCTATTGAACTCGGTAATTTGTCGGGAGTGGAAAGGAAACACTAACTAATATGGTCTAGTTATGTCAGATATTGGGTTTAGGGGAGGGGGGAGGGGAAGGGTGATAAGCAGTGGTCTAATATAAGTAAGCCCCAGGTATTCAAAGGTCCATCAATATAAGCAAGTCTAGTTATTACAAAGGCAGGTTACGAGGACTTTCTAGCGACTCCTATACTGACCTGTAATCTACAACTCTTCATTCAGCCTTGATTCGGCGCTTAATCTTCCACGTATGCTTTAGCAAAGATGACGCTTAGACTATCAATTCGGGGAACGATCACCTCCTAGTCTCTATTCTGGGTTAGTCCCGGCGGCCCTATAAGCAATCCCGGAGCACTCCCGGAGTAATCTTGGAGTAGCCGGGACGAGTCCTGGAGCAATCCGGGAGTAGTCGAAGTCCTCCTAGAGTACTCCTAGAGTATTCCCGGGGTAATCTGAGAGTACCCGGAGTACTTCCAAAGTGCTCCCGCGGCGCGGCGCTTCCGTAGTAGCTCTTGAGCAACCCACTTCCAGCTGATTCATAATCAATTGATATATAAAGAGCTTTTCCATTCCTCCGATATTACAATAGCTCGCTCTAGTGGGGGTTCCTGGGATCGCAGATAGACGAACATGTCACAAACCTGCCTCCGATAACACTTATGTCCTCCAAAATCGAAGGCTATAGCTCAGTTTTTGCTACTAACTTACTGAATCTGAGGGGCTTCCCGCTGTTCTTTTTAATTAGTGCTGCTGGAGAAGTTTTTATACCGAAAATAGATTTTCTTGATCCCAGGCTGAAAGTCCTGCCTCGCGATGCTTCCTGCTCTCAGACAACCCTTTGTGCCAGCGATCGGGGCGATACATAGCAATCAAAGAGATAGGAAACAGGACCAAGCACTATATAGGAGAGTGCTCAGGTTTATCTAGACACTTTTACTATATTAATATGGGAGCGGCACAATAATGGGTATCCTACAATCTATTACAGGTCAAAAAGAAAGATCCTGGATCAAACTATACCATTCAACAAAGGTATCAAGACTGAACAGAGAAAGAAGAAGGAAAGGAAGATAAATAAGAAGAGAGAGTTCAAGTACACAACATCCTTAAGTAAGCGAAGACATACCTGAAGCAGACAACTGTAAATAGTATCGCCTGAGATTATTCCCATATCTTCCGATCTCCTTTGTTCTTGCCAGAATATCACAATTATTACACAATCTAGAACTCTAATTCCAAAGTTGATAACTTTGTGATTTAACACAGTTTCCAGAATAGACTTAGTTCCTGTACAGAGTACAGTACATTATCTTGTCGTCAACTTACTCTTATCAAAGCTCGAAATTCAGAGATTGATTAACGTCGCAGTTCTGTATTTATGTCCTCCAACACTTTTTTACTTCCCGTGATTCCAACATAGAATATATATTATTATATCAGTGCTGCGTGTTGTTCTTCTAATCTGAAGTAGATAGCGGTAGAAAGCAGAGAACAAGGCTAACGGTTTGTCGAATAGGGTCCACAGAGTAATTGCCTTCCGAAACTGGCCATTGTAAGTTGTACCTGAGCCTGACCTTGTTCAAATTCAATTCGTGTTCGGGATTGTACTGCTGTAATTAGACAATTTGGTATATTGATAGCCATACCGAGTGAGGTTACAGCTTGTTTAATAGACATGGGCGGTTTTGCGTGCCAGTTTACTCGGTTTTTCAGCACTAAAAATAGAACCTGGTGGAAATTGTCCAATACTGAGACAATTCCAGGATCCAGCTGATTCTCCCTGAGACCAATAGCACCCCGAGAATCAAGTTCGTGGTTCCCCGGGAATGAAATACTGATCCTAGGACACGGCATAGTCAGTCCCAGTGTAAATTCTTATTCTAGGAATACTAATTGATGCTCTAGGAGGCTTCACCGTAGATTAAAATATATATAGATACTAGATTTCGACATCTCCACAATGTTGTATAATGCCTCGAATAGATCCTTTCACCAATTTCACTAAATGGACTTGCGCCACCGAAATTTCAGACCATTATGGACACCATCTTTACCCATCCCACAATAATATACGAATCGAGAATCTACCTACTATACTCCTTGGCATGCGAAATTACTTAGATATGAAAATATAGAATTGTTTTAGACAATCTGCAATATTGTCAAGAATATTACAGATTTCGGTGGTGAAACCCTATAGAGGGCTTCACTGATGGTAATTTTTAAGGGTCCTTACAAAATGACTTTTCTGTATGGTAATGATTTGGTCAATTCTAGGAGTATAGTCAAAGTCCTCTGAACCGGTGAATCTAGAGATATCGAATTTCAGTTGTGAGATCCTCACAAAAGATCTATCCGAAAAAGTGTTACTGCTGATTATCTATAAAAGAAGAACTCTCCGACCTGACAGTTGGATATATATATCTGGCCCTATCCAAAGCAACTGTTTCAAAATCCGAACAAATACCATAAGAAAACTTTTGAAGGTCCTTATATGTAAGTATATTATCGCTACAAGATGGCTCTTGACCTATTTACTAATGGTCCCAGGGCGCGATCAAGGAGCCCGGAAAAAGTACCGGACAAAATTCAAGCTGGATATACCAATAACTATGCCTTGTTCAGCTCTCGACAAGAAGATCTTCAATAATAAATGGACACTAAGACAAGCCTGGAGACACTATAAAAACAATGACTTTGTCGGGAACAAGTCCTGGATTTTCACAAGCTTGGAGAACCCGGACCTTGTTTTTAACAAGATACAACTATTGGTCTATCGAATATTTTTATATAATCCAGTATTTGAAAATGGCGGAGTAAGCTGGCAGTACAGACTAGACCCTCCGCTTTACTATATCACGAGCAAATCTTGTTTGGAAAGAATAGCACCTATGTATATACCACCTTCACGCTATTAAATATGGCTGCTGTCACCCCAGTCATAGCTTCATTGTGCTGCATTTATATTATGTAATAGCTGCTGTAGTCTACTATCCTTTTGAGTATAGAAGTATGCCAGTCCACTGTTAGATCTTCAGGTATCCAATATATCCCTCTATTAGGTAATTTATAGGATATTCGAGGTATTCATCCTCTTGATCCCAGATCCAGCAAGTACTAGCAATACAGCCATCCTCTCTGTTTACTATAGACTGTGGTAACTGGCAAAATTACACAGTAAGTTAATTTTTATGTTTATATTATATAGTATTCAACAAAGATATCAAGACTCAAGAAGAAAAGAAGAAAAGCAGGAATCTAAATATATACTGGCTCTTTCTTCTTTAAACACCTCAACAATGCATCTAGGATATTGTTACGAGTAAGACGATTGAAGACGGTAGGATTGAAAGAATAATCAATAAGTTGGTTGATTATATATCAAGACTGGTGACGGGAGCAAACATGGCCGGATTGGGATATTGGGTTTATCAATAACTTCCCCCACGAGATAGATCTTTCCTTCCTTCTTTCCCCAGTCTTGATACTTTCGTCCTTGGTCCGAATTGATCTCCTTTCGATTGACCTATAACAGATATTTCCTTTGTCCTCCATACATTGCTACTGGTCTTTCACGTGATCCAATATCCCTCGTTGTCTCGATCGTCTCAACCATCTCAATCGTCACATTTTATTTATAATACCAAGATAAAGGGTGGCGTTCACTGAAGTTGTATGTCTTAGACCCACCGATGGCGTAGTTTATTGTTATTGATAGAACTAGCCAATAGGCAGGAAGAGGGCAGAGAGCTAGATTATAATGGGAGAGAGGATCTATTTCTACTGGACAGTTATATAGCCACAAACAGGCTACCAAACCAACGGTTATAAAATAATTTCCAATATCTTAAAAGAAATCATTTTCGTCCCTTCTCAATCTTATCTAGAAATATGAGCTGAAGATTTAGCAAGTCTCAGCACCAAATCAAAGAGGTGTCACAGGTGTGATGAGGTGTGAAGACACTGTAATAAAAACTCCGAATTACAAGTATGACGACACAATGGCCGATGAAATATAGTGTTGCCTGTGGAAAATTAACCTATCCCACCGGGCTGGAATGAGTAAATTCAGCGCATAAATTTTGATTCCGCGAGACCCGCGGTTTAATGGATCATAGCCCTTTTTCAAGTAGATTGCTGTGGAGATGAAAAGAGGGAGAAAAAAAAAGGGAGGTGAAAAGAGGAAGGTGGAAAGAGAGGGAGTGAAAACAGAGGTGGTGAAAAGAGAGTGAACTATAGAAAATAGTGGGCATTGAATAGTGGGCGGGGAAATAGAGGACGGTGGAAGACTGGCGGCGGTGGAGAATAAAGGATGGTGAACAGTGAACAGTGAACAGAGACCTGTAGGAGTGCTGCAGGTGGGCCAAAATGTGTGTCGGGCGGACGGCCTAGCGTCGGTTTAGATACATCGGTCATCCGCGCCATTGTATCTGTTGGCCTAGAGCGAACCGAATTATCGAGACAACTCGGCCTAAATTTGTTTCGAAAGATACCAG